TGTCTGAACACATCTAATGCAAGAAGGCAAGCTAGTAAGATATATTCAAACTATTTTGTTTATAGTCCTGCTCTTGTAGCCTTTTTCAATGACTTGACAGAAACACAGAATATAAGAACTTAGAGATCAGCTAGCCTGCAAGTTTTCAAAAAAAATTATATTCAGGAACTTTTGTGCTAACAAAATCTTACAAAATGAAAAACATATTAAAGTGGAGCTACTCTTGCTGGCACTTGTGAGGGACAAACATTGGAGAAACTTTGCCTATCGGGTGCCCTCTCATCCCACTGGCATCCCCAAAGAGGGGTCACAGAATATGTACAGTATATACAGACCATTTTGAAAAACAGCGATCTAGTCCAACTTTCTCGAATTAATGGAGAGAGAATTTTTATTTCCCCCCCCAAAAAATCTACACAATAATAACCACATTACCTAATACTGACTTTTACTTTCTTTTTGAAAGGCCTCATAATTTGAATAGTACTAATTCAGAGTGACTGGGTGATTACTTGAATGCTACTACTGAAAATGGGATTCACAAAGCAAATTAATTAGATTGAAATGAAAAAGTCTGATGACCATTCCCAATTAAAATTCATTCCAATCACTTTAGATAATGGGTTCTCATTTAAAAAAAAAAAAACTGGGAAAAACACCTAAATGGAGTGGTGGAAGTAAAGAGTAGGTTAGGAGGAAGAACAACAGGAAGATACAGATTTAAGAATCAGTCAGGAGTTCCTGAAAAAGGAGTAACTTTCCCTTGTATAGGTGAATAAGCTCTTAGAAAAGAATGAAGTTCAGAATGAAAAGTGCAGACTGGGGTTTAGAAGTCAACTGCAGTTAATGTGAAAAAAAGTTAACAAAGATACAGTCGAATCAAACAGTTAACAAAAAAAAATGAACCAATGTAGTTTACCGGAATATAAGAGAGAAAAGAGATTTAAAGAGTCCATGGTACTTACTCTTAATACAGCTGAGTTGTTAAGCATGCAGGTTGAATTAGTAGCACAGACTTTAGCAAATGATCTTATGGTGCTCTTAAATGACACAGTTCTAGTGAATGATGATACATATTTTAGAGGGTACTAAAAGAAGATAAGTGTGGCCACCTGTTGGAATCTTTACTAATTAAAAAAACTGAAAAACAAAAGCAAAACAAATTGCTCTTTTGTTGTTGTTGAAGAAGCTTTTGTAAAACCTCACTGTTACCTCTGGTCTGCTTTTTCCCATTAATTTTCCTTGTTATGGATTATGGGTACCAACTGTGACGACTGATTCATCAAGACCTTCTCCCATTTTAATTTGCGTCACTGTTTGTTTTGTTTAGTTTTGTTTGTATAGTTATTTTTGTAAAATAGTAAGGTTGTTTTTTATGAAAGCATTTTTAGAGGATCCTCTGAGGATGACTTGATTCTGGATATAATTCTTTATTCTCAAAATATCTTCAGTTTTCTATGTATTGAGCAGTCACAATTTAGGTCATTTGAAAAGGCCTGTAGCAAGCATTGGTGGTGGTTTTCATTATTTAACCATTTTTCATAAGAATTCAATACATTGGGACACATTTTTCATCGGCACTTCAATATGCAGATCTGTACTCTACTTTAGCAAACTGAAAATAATATTTGTGGGCTGGTCAACCGTTACTCAGGGTTAATCTGGCTGCAATAATTTCAACTTCAGTACTTTTAAGAATGACAGTTGCTTACCTTACAGTGCTGAGACTGGCTGTTGGGAGCCCAAACCCAAATCTTTCACAAAAATAGAAGGGATCTTTCATTTTGATGCTGCTCCATAAAAAGAAGATCTCGCTTCTTTCTTTTTCTGATTTCTCTCTATCCCTGGCAGTCATTGTTCCATGAGGAATGATGACAACCATTCCCCTAGCCCTCAAGCTAGAGACTCTGGAACAATCTATGCCTCTTGCCACCCTATGGGTATTACTAAACTCCGTTTCTTTTCCTTTCACACTTATTCTAGTTATCCACTGGTCTGTCATAAAACACCCTAAATTCCATGTCATAAAACAAGAGCCACTTAATGCTCACATAGTCTGTGACCAGGGATGGTTTGTCAATGTGCTGCAGTTGGAGGGCACATAGATTCAGATTCAGCTGGAGGTGACTAAAGAGTATAGATTGGAATTATCTGGAGTCTTCTTTATTCACTCATCTGGCATCTGGGTGGGGACAACTCAAAGGTTAGCCTTGGTTGGGAATGTCAACTACAGTGCCTAAATGTGGGCTTTCTCTGTGACTCTGGCTTCCTCACAACATGGAGCCTGGGTTTCAAGAAGCAATGTTCTGAGAAGTAGCATTTGGGGAACAAGTATTTCAAGGAGACCATGGCCTCTTTGACATAAATTCAGATATCATGCAGGATCATTTTCATTACATTACAAGTTACAAAGGCCAGCCCAGATTCAAGGGCAGGGATTTCTTGATGGGAGAGTGGTTATCTTAATAGAAGAGCACATGGGATGAGAGATAGTGTTGTAGTCATATTTGAAAAAAATAATATGCTACAATACTTTCAGTGGTCATTTTTTCTCTCTGTTTTCTGAATACTCAGCAAAACCCCTTGTCTTAGCTCTGATTGTCTTCCAGTCACAGAGCAAAAGCTACCTCTCCAACAGCTTTTCTGTTTCCTTTTTTTAAAATGCAAATTTATTATTTTACAGTTCTGTAAGTCTAACATAGTTCTCACTAGGCTAAAATCAGGGTATCTATAAGCCTGTGTTCTTTTCTGCAGGTTCTAAAGGAATCTATTTGTTTGCATATTTGGGTTGCTGGCAGAATCCAATTTCTTGTGGTTGTAGGACTGAGGTACCATTTCCTTGCTGAATGTCAACGGAGAGCTATTTATAGTTGCAGGTGTTTCCTTAACTCTTTGGCTCACAGATCCTCATCTTCAAAGCCAGCAATGGTAGATGATTCAAAACCTTCTTACACTTCAATTCTCCCCTGTCTCTTCTTCCATAGTATTTCACTGGCTCTGTCTTCTGCCTTCCTCTTCAATCTGTAAGGCCCATGTGCTATTGTATCTTTAGCCAACCCAGATAATCCATGATAACCTACTTATTTAAAATCCACAGACTTAATCTATGTAAACTTCTTTTTTGGTAGATAATATAGAATATGAAGGCATAATACCAGAGACTAGGGTGTGGATGTCATGAGTGGTGGGTAGCATTATATACCACAATGAACCCAGATAAGAACAACATTTTTCTTATGTCTTTTTTTTTTACTATTGTGATGTATGTATGAAATATATACATTTCATAAAATTTGGCATTTTAAGTGTGCAGTTCAGTGATGTTAATGATATTCACAATATTGTGCAACTATCATCATATCCATTTCCAAACTCCTTTGATCATCTGTACACAAACTCTGTAATGTTAAACAGTAACTCCTCACTTTGCCCCCCTTGCAACTGTGGATACAATAGTGAACAAGACAAAGTCCCTGCCTGAAAAGAGCTTATGTTCTCTAATACCCCTTGATGATTCAGCAGGGTACAGAGAAGAAACCTGCCCAAAACCACACAGCTATTAAGTGGCAGAGTAGGAATTTGAACATAATTCCCTGATCCTGACATTTATACTCTTTCTACTGAATCAAGCTACCAGTGAGTAACTCACATTTTCCAACAAAATTTCTGAACACCAAAACTCACAGTTTACAAATCTACTAAAACCTTGATGAATGGTAACTGCAAAATGCATGTTACAGTACAAAATCTGTAGGTAAACTAGAAATTTTTACTGGTTTCAAATTAATTCTTTTTTTAATTTTTTTTAATTTTTATATTCCCCATATAATTGCACCCCCCCTTATTTTGACCCCAATCCTTCCTTTCCCCACCCCCCAGTGTGTCTCTGGTTTATAGAAAGGCTATTTTTCTAAATACCACTATAAATTCTAAGTGTTACACTACAGAGGGAAAAAAGGGAATAAATTGGGTTTAAAATTCACTGACCGAGGACATGTGCTGAAAGATAATTCTTAAATTTTTATTTCATACTTCATATAAACCTATTTTATCTTTTGTCTTTTTCCAAAAAGGGTAATGCTGAAATAAATCTGTTCAAGTGTAAGCAAATGCACCCTAAGTGAGTCGAGTATTCTAGCCTTAACTCTACTACAATGAGTTAGATGAACTTGTGCAACTGGGTCTTCTCTTAGGTCTCTGTTCTGCTTTGGGTAAAATGAAAGAGATTGGATGAAGAGCAATACTCTTTGTTTGCATAGTGGTTTACACTTTTTTAATGCAATAGTTTTGTAATCTGACTTGGTCATATCAACCACCTCATGATGTCAATTTTCTGTTTATTTCAAATTTGGTTCAGAAATAACGGCAAGTAATACAAACTAAATCCTAGCCTTTCTCTTCAGACACCAGTGGTGAAAAGCTCCCCAGCGTCCCCTGCTTTTTCAGAGGTGAAAAGCTCCCCAGGGTCCCTGCAATTCTAGCAATCTAAAATTCTTTTTTTTAAGAGTATAAAAATTTTCTTACGTAACCTAGTATTACCATTAACAAATACATTCAGGCCAGGCAGGACATAATACTGCTTGTGGAAGAACAGCTAGCTCTCTGGAAAGTGAACAGGCTTGAATGGCTTGCAGCCTCAAGCCAGGAGGATTGGTCAGAGGGGAGAGCACTTGCCAAAGACCAGGGGACATTGGGGCACCGAGTGGGCACCGTGTGTGCCCACTGCCTTCCCTGTCTAACCTGGAGTTTCGAAGGAGCCATACCCAGAAACAAACAACTGAAACCAAGTGGCTTCCTAAGGTGGCCACAGCTTGTCTCTGAAGTCACCACAACACCATTTTAAAGCAACATGTTTAATTGGATCATTTCCACCAACTCTACTGAAGTTTCTAACCACTGCAATTTCGTGAAGTACAAAGCGAGCTGTGGGAAGAGAAGGCAGGACCCATGATGGCACCTTCCAGTCCTGGTTGGTCTTGGAGGGCGGGGGGGGGGGGGAAGGAAAGAGGAACGTTGTCGTTTTTTTTTTAAACCAGGTCCTCATCTCAGTATACAAAAGAATTTCTCTGATCGATATGAAGTTGTATTGACAACAAGATGAAATAAAAAGCAAATACTGCCCTATTGCGGTGGAAATGAGAGGGAAGAATGAGTCCTTCAAATTACGGGGTGGGGGTCACTGGGGGATATGGCGGGGCAGGTCGTGTGGCTGTGGTCACTCACGCTGCTCCATTTTCACTTTTGGTGGTCTCAGGAAGCTTCGGTTTTTCTTCTCTTTCTTCCCCTTGGTATTTGCTTGGAAGATTCGCCAGCTTTCCACGCGCTCATCTCGACTTTCCTCAAAGTTTTTCCGCCACTCGCGTTCTCGGTCAGCTTTTTCTTGCGCTTCGATCTCCTCTTCCCTTTGTCTCTTCCTTTCGTGCAGCTCCCTGGCTTCTCGCTCTTTCCTTTTAATTTCTAGATCAGCAAACAGTTTCATGGTCTGTTTGTACACAGCTTGTTTGAACAGCTCGGGATCATCCTCCGCCACATGGGTAGGTTTTCCTTCCTTCTTTAATTGCTTCTTTCGCTCTTTCATGGTGTGTTCTACGTATTCTTTTCCTGCCTGGACGACATTCAGAGCCCTCTTCTTTTGCTCTTGATCTAGGAGCAATTTATAAGCTTTGTCCACAGCTTCAAAAGCCCTTTGAGCTCTCTCGGCATCATCTTGATTTTTGTCAGGATGCACCAGTATGGATAACTGCCGGAACCGCCTTTTTATTTCTTCATCCATTGCTTCAGGATCTAGTTGAAGAACCTCAAATGGGTTCAGATTGAAGTAGGAAGAACCGGAACGGGTCAATCTTTCAATCTGATTTTTGGATGTTAGAACCGAATCTCTCTTCTCTATTTCTTTCACTTCGCTATAGAAGGTTCGAAATGCTTCTTCTGTGCTGTCGCCGCAGCTGGAGGCCCCGCTCTCTTCTGGAGCCGCCATCTCCTCTGGTCCAGCCGCCAAGTGTGTGACGACGCTCACAATCAAAAATTCTTAGAACCAGGCTGAGTCATCAAGGTTCTACTTACCTCAGCTGTATTTCATGATCTCTCTGAATATGTGCAAATAGGCCCATCTGGGTGAACAATATAATGATGTCAGAATTTGTTGCAATTTGAATTCCTACAAATCAAGAACTTTTTACTTTTTTTCCTTAGAAAATAGTTGCTATTGAGTGAGTGCTTACTGTGGGTCGTGCACCGTTCCCACTAATTTATACATATTCATTCATTTACATTTCCCAAAAGCCCTATGAAACAGATGACATTATGGTGCCCATTTTTAGGTGATGAAAACTGAGGCACAATTTTTCCTTCTTCTTGTGACCCCTGTCCATGGGAGAAGTATACTTCTCTGATCCATTAACATAGGTTTTGGTCAATGGATTGTTAGTTGGCCTGACAGAAATAGAAGTTTGCTTTCTTGAACTTCTTCCATCCAACCATGAGAGAACAGACCCTTGTTACCTTTTCCAGAATGAGGAAATAAGTGGAAAAGACCTGAACCCAACCTATAGCCTGGAGCCAAACCCAATTGATCACAGTTGAACCCAACAGAGCTACAAGTGAGAAAAATAAGAGTGATTTGATTGTTAGTTGTTATACAGGTTATTTCAGCAAAATTATAACCCATATACACAGCTCAGAATGAGGCACAACCAGAATTCTAACTGCATGCACCACGTTAGATTTGAACCACTTCAAATTACTTTTAGGTCGCTGCTCTAAAAGTACTGAGTTCACAGCTTTCAACCTGCAATGCAGATGCCAATGTAAAGGGGATGGTACTCACACCACAGAGAGCAACTCAATGTAGACAGCCTTGTACTTAGACTTGCTCTAGCTCCACTAAATATAACTCATGGATTTTGCTCTTGGGACCATATAGCCCGATTAAATATATCCTGTAAACTGACTTGGCCAAAGAGATGTGTAGTCAATATCTTTTCTTAGATTTGCTAATAGTCTTATTTTTCTTTTCTAATGGAATTGTAAACTTGGGCAAGATGGCCTGCTTTTATGAAGCTGTACAGGGACATGTGAAGTCTTATAACAGTTCTTTTAAGACTTCTCCCCGGCCATTAGTAACTGAAACAGTGCTGTGAATTGTATTTGCCTCTGCCCACTGGCCTGACTCGGCCTGTCTGTGTGGGGCCAAGTCAGATGGTACCTTCACTCCCAGATGGTGTTCCTGTCATGCCTAGATGCCTTGCTCAAGATTCCCTGGGTCTTAGGTAATCAGAGATGTAAATCTGTTCAGTCACTCCATAAATATTTATTGAGCATTTGCAGGATAAGGCATTGTGCTAGACAGGCACTGAAATGTAATTTGTTATTTCTTCTACACCATGACCAGGTGACAAAAGAGGGTACAAAATTGAGAGGGAGACAGAGTAAGCCTGTAAAGGTTTCCTGTCTATTCACACTAGAAGAAGTGAGTCGTGGTGTGGTTTCCCTCCCTGCTCCAAACTCCCCAGCCCCTATGTATCCTTCCAGTGTCTTCCCAGCCCTGTTTGCCCCCTACTAGCCACTTTCACTTCCAGCCCCCACACTTATGTCCATTCCACAGGCAGGGGTTCTATTACATTCCCCCATGAGTTATATAATTTCCCCTTTACAATGTGAATCAAACCACCTTCACTCCAGTTCAGGAATCTAACACTCTGGGACAGCTGATGTTTCTGATATATGTAGATAGGGCACTGCCATCAGTGGGAATGAAGGTGCTGCTGATGGTGTTTCAGAATATGGGGGCACACAACATGGTGTCTGTGGCATCATCAGGCTGCCTTAATCTCTTTGGGCCTCCATGTCCTCACTTATAGAAGGAATACACACATATGTATACACACACACACACACACACAAACAAGCAACTTCAATTACCCCCCCAACAAAAGCCTGGTTAAAGAAAATATGAAATATACATACTTTGGGGTATTATGTATGCATCTTTAAAATCCACAGGTTCATATGAACTTACATGAAGTGATAACTGTGCATTATTATTGAGTAAAACGCAAGTCAGCATATACATGCTCTCATTGCAACCTCTGCAGCCGGTTCAATCCCCGGCTGCTCCCCGGCCACCGGAGGAGGGTCCCACATGGCGCGCAGACCTCTCCTGCCGCCCGCTGCTCCCCTCAGCAGTGTCCTTCGGTCCTTCTGCCTGCTCTGCTCCCCGCTCTGGCTCTGGTGAATTCTCTCACCCTCCCGCGCTTCTGACTGTACCCAGTGCATGTATAAACCAAACAAACAAACAAATAATAAATAAATAAATAAGACATGCCTCTAGAAAATTAAAAAAAAAAAAAGAAAAAGAAAACATCTGGGCTATTAAGGTTTACTATAGTCAAGACCTGTACTGAGCACTCCTCATATGTGGTCATATATAATCTTCTAGTAACTCTGCAAGTTAGATATTATTTTTCTCCCCCATATACACACATTACAGGTGAGGAAATGAGAGAGGATAAGTAACTTCCAAGACTAGTAAGTGTTAGGAAAAGGATTTGAACTCCACACCCCCTACTTTCCTGGGGGTATAATTCTCCTGTAGAGAAAATGGAGTAAAAAGGAGACAAAGCAGGGTTCCTAAACTTCTACCTGTTTATAGGCTTTTAGTCCCTATTGAACAGTGGTTTCTAATTGTGTAGAACTTGTACTGCTGGAGGTAGGAGAGATAATTTCAGGGATGGCTTTGGCAGGTCTCACACCCACCATTAAATAACAGTAAGCCACAGAGTGAAAGCATTATTCACTGTTCAATTCTTTTTAATCCTCTGATTACATCACTACCAACGTCTCAGCTCAGTGCTGGTCTTTCACACCCTCTAACACTTGCTGATCTTTTTTTTCTGTTTTTACAGAAAGCCAACCTCATGCCCTGAACAGGCAAGTGTTATCTAGTTAGACTTTAATACCATTGTGGTTTCATTTTATTTCTACCGATGGTTAATTTCTATTTAAGGCAAGTGATACAGGGTATTCATTTATTGTAATGATGAAGTATTGTCTCTTTTAAGAAAAGGTAGTTAAGGCCTTTCTTCACTTTCATGTGTTAATTTAAAGAAAAATATTAACTAGTAAGATAACTGCTATAAAAATACAACAAAAATCAGTACCCTCATGACTAAAATATCAAATACCTCATTGTGCTGAATAATAATGCAAGTAACCCAAATAGCTACTGAACTTACCTGTCTACACATATCATTTGTCAACCATTTAAAGCCAAAAAGATAACACAAATAATATTTATTTTTATATAAATAGAATTTAAGCAATAAAATATAAATAAAATTTCTACTGTTACTCAGTAAGGAATTCTAGTAAGAATGTAATTACAAACATAATAACTGATGTTTATCTATCATTTAATACAATCCAGGCACTATTCAAGTATTTAACACATACTAAGTGACAGAACCCTATAGGAGGTACCATTATCTCATACTACTCATAGGGGAACTGAGATACAGAGAAGTTAAATAGCTAACCAACATCACATAGATTATAGATGACTCCAGAGTCTATTCTCTCAATCATTATACTACCTCTTGATAATAAAATTATGCTACCTCAATCATTATGCTACCTCTTGATAATAAAATTATTGTAATTGTATATGCATGGATAAATAGAATAAGTATGTATTATCCTAACTGCTTATTAGAACTCCAGTAACTAAAGTCCTAACTTTTAGTTGACATGCCAATCATCACCTTTTCACCCATATTCTTTTCTTAGAAAACCTGCTTCATCTTCTACCATAGAAGTCACAGTTGATTGGACAGGGTAGTTACACCTGAGTTTCTCCTAGGATTTCATAATTGGAATACAATGAAACTTAATTCAAAAATCAGGGTACTGAGAAACTGAATCTTGAAAATAAATTCAAGTAGAGACAGGGCAGGAATTATGGCAAGCCAAAGCTACACATGAGCTTAAGTTCCAGAGATGTGCAAAATCCACAAGAGATAGGTCCAAGTAGCCCTGCCAAGAAAAGAAATCATACCATGACTCCAAAGACTTGACACACCCCCTTCAGTGCCTGAGATGGCAGCTGTCCGTCTTTATGGCCTGGCCATCCTCCAGCTCTTATCCTCAAGTGCCCATGGGGATTTTATTTTACAATAAATCCTACTAAGAGCTACCCTGAGTAGATTTCTTTTTTTTTTTCCTGAGTTAGGATTTTTAAAAATATTTTATTTTATATAATTCTTGCATCATTTTTCGTTTTTGCACAATGTATGCATTTTCATTTTGGTTATATTCCCCATACAATTGCACCCCCTCCCTTATTTTGACCCTAATCCTTCCTCTCCCCTCTGCCCCTCCCCCCCACCATAGTGTGTCTCTAGTTTATAGTTGCTTGTTGATTTTGATTTTTTCTTTGTATTGATTAGTCTTTTTCCTGGCCCCTTATTTAGGTTTTCTAAATTCCTGCTATGAGTGAGACCATCCGGTATTTTTCTTTTTCTTTCTGACTTATTTCGCTGAGCATGATCCCTTCCAGCTCCATCCATGTTGCTGCAAACTGCATGTGTTTATCTTTTTTTGATTGCTGAGTAATATTCCATTGTGTATATGTACCACATCTTCTTGATCCAGTCATCTATTTTTCGGCATTTGGGTTGTTTCCAAAGCTTAGCTATTGTAAATAGTGCTGCTATAAACATAGGGGTGCAGGTGCCCTTAGGAATTAATGTTTCTGTGTCATTTGGGTAAATACCTAGGAGTGGAATTGCTGGATCATATGGAAGCTCTATCTTTAGTAGGTTGAGGAATCTCCACACAGCTCTCCATAGTGGTTGGACCAGTTTGCACTCCCACCAGCAGTGCAGGAGAGTAGATTTCTATGTCTTGCCATCAAACATGCCTAAACAGATGTGAAGGTGCATACAATATATCTTGAAAGAACATCTGGAGTGAGGAAATCAGAGTCCCAAATTCTAGGATCGAAAAC